ATATATATATATATATATATATATATATATATATATACAGGGTGAAGTAAAGAAAACCCATATTTCAGATTATTATACCTTAACACAACGATTTTATTCGGGACAGTTTGGGCATGTATAGTGTATTCTTTCTAAACCTTTCGTAGAAAGTAATCAATATAGTTTTCGTCATTCTCAATCAACTTATCAAGCCTATATCTAAACAACACTGTTGTAAACATAATCTGCTTTGGATAGTGTTTATTGATCCTCGCAAGAAACTGCACACTGGCACGCGTGTTATTCAAATCCTCACTTTCGTATTGTCGCAATAGGGAGAAGTGAAACGAGTGCAAGCTGTGTGTATGAAACGCCAGTGCCCTCACTAACGTTATGTTGTATCCTTACGTCCCCCCAACTTTGATAACGTAATACTTGTTGTATACGTTTGTGCAAGATCCCTCCAAACTTCAGATATCATGTCGACAAGATTAAGGCAGATTTTTATATGTACCAGTGACCTTCTGACCTTGACCTTCGACTCATGACTTTCTGAAGTTAATCAGTCTAAGAGTCGTATAAGTTTGGTCAATATCCATCCATCCAGTTCTCAGATATCATATCCACAAGGTTGAGAACGATTTAATATCTACTTGTGGACTTTTAACTTTTACCTTGCACCCATGAATCTCAAAATCAAGCCCAAGGCTTAGTACGTAGCACCTATTGTACAAGTTTGGTCCAATAGATCGGAACGGATGAACGGATAGGTGCGAATTAATGTGCTTCGTAGTATGACCATAATGTAAGAAACGGTAGTTTGCGAGAAAAGCGGTTTTAATATGCTGTATAATTTGATTTTGTGATACAAACACACTTTCGTGGATAAAACGTGAAATTCGTAATCTACTCTGGTAAAATGTTGTTCCTCTAGGAAAAGTACTTTTTAAGGTATAATCGTTTTAAATATGGAGAGTTCTTGATAATCACCCTATGTATGTTGAACATTTACAACTGACTAAAAGTTCTTATGACCACTAAACGACTAACTGTGAAACACAGTGAAGACTTATCTGCAGCTAAATATCTACATCCTACATAGTATTAGCCACACTATTAATACTTTACTACCGGTTTGATTATAATTTTAATCGACTGGTTAAGCGAATTTTTTCACGATTAGTAAGCTTTGAGTACTTACTATATACGATATGATTAAACTTCACACTATCAGTCATCTACAGCCTAGACAACTGTGATCCCAGATGTCACTGTAAATTGGATTTACAACTGTTGCAACTGAAGATGACTACATCTGGGATCACAGTTGTCTATGTAGTCATCTTCAGTTGCAACAGTTGTAAATTCAATTTACAGTGACATCTGGGATCACAGTTGTCTATTGTAGTCATCTTCAGTTTCAACACTTGTAAATACAAGTTACAGCACCATCTGGGATCACAGTTGTCTATTGTCACTGTAAATTGGATTTACAACTGTTGCAACTGAAGATGACTACAATAGACAACTGTGATCCCAGATGTCACTGTAAATTGGATTTACAACTGTTGCAACTGAAGATGACTACAATAGACAACTGTGATCCCAGATGTCACTGTAAATTGGATTTACAACTGTTGCAACTGAAGATGACTACAATAGACAACTGTGATCCCAGATGTCACTGTAAATTGGATTTACAACTG